AAATAAAGCTAAGCCCAGGAAGAAGAGAGGAGTAGGGGAAAGAGGTTTTAAAATTTAGGTGTTTACTTTCCTTACCCGACTCTGATTTGATCGGTAATAAATTAAATTCCCCAAGCTGAGTTTGTTTTGCCTGTGATGGTAATTGGTGAGTGATCTCTCTATCCTTACCTTGCTTCACAAGCCTTTTGTTAAATTTTCTGTCTCCTACCCAGCTGTGGGAGGGTAGTGATAAAATAGCTTTGGTCTGCACCAGGTGTCCAGCTGAGGTAAATCCACCACAATATATTAAGAGGAATTGAATTAGAACTTTAGTCCCTGTGGAATCAACACGGAAATCAGCTACTCCTTCACAGTTGTTCAAATCAGCAGATTTGCTCAGCCTTTAGGTCAGCCCTTACTCCTTTCCCCTAGGACAGCCTGTCAGCAGGTAAAGACAACTGAAAGTCTCTGAAAAATGTCCCTAAAGAGAATCTTTTAAGTCCTGGTCTGAAGGGGCTCGTGTCCTAATGAAGAGTGCATGTTTCCACATTGAGGCATGATGCCCTCCAGCCTACAATGCCCAACTCCAGGCAGTAACTATCCCTCTTCCAGAACTACAATTATCAAGAATATAGATCCTAAAATAATAAAAATAAATCTGCAGTTGAGCTGGATTTGACAGGAATGCCTTATCTGCTAAAGTCCATTTTACACTCTCTGACTCCTGATTTCTCACCTCAGCTGCAAATACCTGGCAGCAGAGAGACCCTACCCAGAAGCTGCCCAGGTCAAGACAAGGAGGAGCCCCAGGAGCCCTCAGAGATGGATTCCCATTGAGGAACCTGGCTATAAATCAGCACCTCACCCCTACAGTGCTTTTACAAGCCCTACTCCCACGCCAGCTCTGCTGTAAACAGGCTGCTTTGACTAACTTTGAAGAGGTGTGTTCCTTTTGTAGCAGTGCTCACCTCAACAAGCTCAGTGTGGGAGGGCAGAAGGTAAGTTCTGCCCAGCAAGCAGATCTGAGGGGATAGGGAACTGTTCTCCTGCCCCTCAGGCCTGTCTGCCTTCCCTGAGGGGGCTGAGAGCTGGCAGCATTCCTTGCCTCTGCCTGGCTGACACAGAGAAGGCTCCCACTGATTTTAGGGACAAGGAAGGTGTGCTCCAGCTGTGGCTTCAGGGAGGAGTTTATCAGGGTGCATGGGAAGTGGGACACATGGTAACAACAGGAATTATTAGAAAAATGGTGAAGAATTGCTCACAGTCTTTTGGGCAGTTGCTGGTTTCAGTGAAGAAGTGTTGCACGTATTGTACACACAAACACAGATCAGTTTGAAAATCAGAGCAGGAAACCCAGTGTGAGCATCCTTTCCCTCTGCTGACCCCCTGTGACCTACTTCCACATTAGCAGAGAGAAGCAAACACAGGGTGGGATGTGTTTGTGTGCTCAGCAGTTGTCAGCAGGCTGTCCAGAAGTAATGATCTCAGACAAAAATAACCCTGAAAAATCTTTCCAAATATAGTCCCTCATTATTGGTGCTGTATCAGTTTCATTTCAAGCTGTGCCTGGCAGCTTTTCTCTCTTGTCCCCTTGAAGAGGACACTAACAGGTCTGAGGCACCAGGGCCTGTCTCTAAAACATGTTTGTAAAACCTCATCACACCTAGAAGAGTCAATGCTCACACAACCAATTTGAACCAAGCTCTGTGTTACAACCTGATTTAAAACTTCACTGGTTTCAACAAAAGAGGGAAGAGAGAGTGGAATATGAAATGTCAGATTTTCTTCCTCTTTTTGTTTTGGAAACCTTACTAGCTGTCATACAATGTTGGCAAAATCCATCCATTTTACAAAGGAAGAGAACAGATGTACCCAGTGCAATGTCTGTGAAAAAAAAAAAAACAAACAAACAAAAAAAACCCCAAAAAAGCACAAGGCTATTGTCAGAATGCATCCATGGACTGCTTGGAAGTGCTAAGTATGCCATGGATGCAGAACAAGCCTAGTTAGGGACTGAGAACTGGCCATGTTTGCTTCTGAGCCATTTAGGGAATTCATGAGGCCTGCTGGCCAAAATAAACCATTTTAAGGGACACAAGGCTGCCTTGAAACAACTGAAGATAAATCTCAGTGGCTTCAAAGGAAGACTGAGTCTGGCTTTTTTGGGTATGAAGGTAAGTTCCTACAATGTGGCCCTTGCAGCTTCAGCACCTACAGCCTGAGCAATCCCTTCCTCTGTTGACAAGGGAGAGAGCCCAGAGGAGCGTGATCCACAGTGCCAGTCCCAGCAAGTGCACTTGTCCTGGAAAACAGCAGGGTGTGAACTGCATTCAGACACAAAATCTCATGGCTCCTCAGCCTGGAGGGAATCACCCCCAGCAAATCCCAGTGGCTGCACACCTGACCTACCACAGATGATCAGCTTGCAGCTGTAAGTCGTAGGGTTCATAAGCAGGCAGGTGCTTCTTGTTGAGGGGAGCCCCAGCTTAGGCTTGGATGTGTTGCTAATGGTGCCCCTGTGTTGGGGTCACTGATGAAAGCCCAGCTCAGGGAACAGCTCTTGTCACATGCTCTGGTTCCTCAGTGGGGCCATGAAGCAGGAAGCACTGTCCTTCCCAGGATACTCCATCTTGAAGTAAAAAATGCTGCTGGGGACAGTCACTGTGGGCTGCTTCCCACTGCACACACAAACATGCAAACAGAGCCAGAACCACCAGCACAGAGAGTCTTGTGCATGAGTACAAATCTTAAAGAGCTTGGGTATATCATTTCATGACCTGGACCTTACTTCCCATCAGGGAAAACCCAGTGAGTAGGAAGAATGAATAATACACCACATTTCTCTTGGCATCTGACCAGTATACCTGCCTCAACATGCAAACAGACAAACTGAAAAGCAAGAGGGGAAGGAATTGGGAACCTCATTCTCCCATTAATCTGCTATGCAACTCTAAGCAAGCAATTAATTTCTTTGTTTCTTTGGCTGTAACTGAGGTGTCAGACTCCACGGGGATATATCGATGCATTCTCTCACTAATGCCATTAAATTAAGTGCTTTCAGATATTTGGCTCCCAAAGCACTTTAGAAACGCATGATTAAATTACACCAATTATAAACCAAAGCAGGTGATCTTGTAGAGGAAGGGATATTGCCCTGCTGGTGTTGATCTGAGGCATTAATAGTCTACAGAATGCTCGGGGGAAATCAAGGGGAACTGTATGTACAATTTAATTTCCAGTGTCCACTGCAAATCCTCCATTTTCAGCTTGTATTTAAACACATTTCTTGAAGTACTTAATACTGCTTGTTGCATTGACATGGGATCTCATCAGGTAAATCCCCTGAATTGTAAATGTAGCACTGTATGGCAAAATTCTTTCATGAGACTTCATTCTCAGAAAAGAGCTTATCTCCTCATTCTCCTTCAGAGTTTTTCTACCATCCCTCAGGTTTATGCAAATAACCCTTGTGACTTGCCATTTATAATGAAGACTAGGAAATCAGTTCACATCCATGTCCTGCTGGTCCTGCCTGAGGACAGGTAGGCTGTTATCAAAGGAATGTAGTGCAAAGCAGAGCCATCCTAACTTTCCTCCATTTGCCACTCTCCTACACTTGCCTACATGCACAGAAGTTACCGAAGTTATTTCTGTAGAATTCAGGCCTAGAGCACTTCCACACAAGAGCACAACTACAGCCATGTAACAGGAAGTGCTTTTTCTCAGCTGCACATGTAGCTAAAGTAACATACCTATGGTCTAGTCCATCAGGAAAGGCTGATTGGTAAATACAAATACACAATTTACACTTCATTATTCCTTTTAGTGTACCACTCATTCTGTCAATTTAATGTGTTGCCAATTACTCTTAATGGGATTAGAAGACTCATAGCAGCATGTGGATAGGCTTGTGAAGAAATAGATACCTAATCTAGTAATACGTATTAATTTATAATTTTTTATATTACGATATTGTTTATTACACCAGGCACAGGCCAATCAAAAAAAAAAAAGTCTTTGATCTCACCATTTATAGTCCCTGCATTCTGCAATTCCCCAGACTGGGCAGAGGGATCACTTACCGTTTTGCCTTGATGAGCTGGGCCATGTTCAGTTATGTTTGGGAGTAGTGCTGATTAAACATCCATGTTATCATTAGGCATGTGTAGGGAGCAACTGAACAAAAAAGGTGGCATTTACCTGACAGGATGACCTCTAAATGTTTAATTTAATGTGCTCTCAGGGACTTTCTCTCTGGTCCAGAAAGACTTCACAGTCTCCTACGTGTCACAGATCTCTTCGCTTCTCATTTAGGGAACAGATCCCAGTCAGACTGAAAATGTGCTACAAGAAAAATGACTTGTAACACCGGTCCTCTGTTATGTCAAGACATGATAATATCACCCTCTGAGCACACAGATGTCCTGAATTTTAATTTAAGCAGTATCTGTATAAAGTGCTATGTAATGGGCTACATATCTAGTAAAAGGAAGCCTGGTCCTGAAGAGATTGCCAACAAATGGAAGGGATAGAAGAGGAGGTATTTTTGTGTCTAATCCCCAGGTGAGCACCTGAGGTACAGAGCAGGTAGTGACATACCCAAGGCCACACAGGGAGTCTGAGCTTAACCCTGAGTCTTGTGCTTACCTCTGTGTCTGGAGATGTTCCATTGCTCCTGTGAATCCAGAGGGTCAGTGTCCCCACTGTCATTGCAGACAGTGACTCAGAAGAAGTATTTCCTCCCTGGGAGCAGGGCTGTGACAGGGTATTTATAGCTGTAGACCTTCTCTGTGCCTGTGAACCACATGTCAGTACTGACATCACATTGCAGGACCATAATACACCTCCTAGTTGTCTTCTGCATCTGAGCTGTGGTTCAGGGTCAGGCTATCTGGGACTCCTTCAGCCAGCTGCAGATTCCTGGGTGGTCAGGGAAAGCTAAGAATTAATGAGCCATTTAAGCACTAGTTTACTCTGTTTGGCTCTCTCCCTCTGCCCTTTTCTGGGCAAAAATATTTCACTTCCAAAGTCGCTGTATATCTAGAAAAGTACTTCCTTCCTTCATTTCTTCTACCCTGAGCAACCTGAGGACCAATTTGTACTGTATAATTACCTTCTGATGAAAAAATAAGGCTGTTACATTTGAAAAGCATTCTCTGAAAGGAAGACAACTGCATAGGTCTGTAACCCCAGCAGATCATTACAGCAACAGGAGTCTCTCTAAGGACCCAGCCTGCCGCCACTTGGCTGGCACAGACCCACTGGCAGTGGAAATGATGTCACCAGACTGCTGAGGGGACAGACACTGTTGTGTCAGTGCTGTTACAGAGATTTTCCTGTTGAAATAATGACATGAAAAACAAGGTAGCACTGGGAGTGTCTGGAGCAGTAACTGCTTCACCCTTTCCCTCCACACTGAACAGAGTAAACAAAGCCCCAGCAGTACGATTCCTATTCCTTGGCTCTGAGCCATGCTGCTTCTAGGCTTGGTTCAGCTAATGTGAGGGAGGGAGTTGGGAAACACAATGAAGGAGGGGGAAAGTATTTTCTGACTAGGGAGTCTTGCTCCATTTCAGTGGAAAGATTTTGGATTGCGCCCATGGCCTTTTTTGGATAAAGGGTTGTATCATTAGAAGCATCTGTTCATGTTTTTTTTTGTTTGTTTGTTTGTTTGGTTTTTTTGTGGTTTTTTTTTTTTTCCTACCTCTTGTTAGTACCACAAGGTGATGGAGCTTTCTCTATACTGTACCTGCAGCCTACATGTTAAGGTTGTAATGGACATCTCTGCAACTCCTCTTGAGGATAACGTGAAAACAGGTCAGAAACAAATCACTTGGTGCTGTGGATCAGGACTGGGAGTGGTTCTTGTCCTCTCTCATTTTGCCACACCACTGGTGGTGGTGGTGGGGAGCATTGGCCAAGACAACTGCAACTATAAAGTTCTGCTTCCTGGCTTGGGCAGCAACAGAAACAATCCTCACCTTTGAGCACAAGGATGTCTGTGGCTACAGGAGCTACTTGTTCAGAATCAGCCCAATAGAAAAATGTTTCAAGGACACCAGTGCTGGAGACTTCTTCAGTCTGCAAAGAAAATGGCAGGCTTTGTCCCCAGCAAAGTGCATGAGCTGGTGTGGCCTGGGAGATTCCACATAACCTCATGCTACAGTTCATTAGTTTGATCATCTTGGGAGCTGAGGGAAAACAGCTGGTGCAATACAGATGAACTTGTACAATGTCAACTGAGAGATACCTTCTTATGGTGGGGTTCATTTTGCAAGTTCCTGTGGAGCCGGAGTTCATGTAGTAGTCTAGGATTTAAAATAAAAAAAAAATAAAAAAGAAACCATATAAATTGCTGTTAGCATCTATAGAAATAAGCTCAACATCCATGTAAATATAAATTGTACCTCTGACAGGACAGTGTTGGGACCTCAAAGATTGTTTTACAGCCCTAGGCAATTCACGGTTTAATCAAGAATGATTTCTCTTCACCTAACATGAACTGTATTTGCATGCTTGAAAAATTCTGCTTCTCATGGTGAATCACAGAGCCCCCCCCCAATGTTTTATGCTTTGTTGAGCACTGATGCTCCACCTGTGGAGGGCTGGGTTGTGCAGCTGACAAACCTGTGTGCACAGAAGTCCCTCTGTCACCACAGGGAGGCCTATAAAAAGGCTTGCCATAAAAACAGTGAGCAGTTACGCAGGACTTTGTAAACCTGAAGCTCTGCATGACTTTTCTCCACTAGTCAACTTTGAAACCAGAGTGACAGCTTGTGATAAAAGCTAAATAACAGCTCCAGGCTCCCAAAACCTGCAGCTGTATTTCACCAGATGCCCAAGAAAACACTAACTGCAGGATTCCTGCTCTGACAGGACACAACACAGAAGCTTACAGATGAGATGTGAAAGGCATGGTGCTGTCCCAGCACAAACCACCATGTGGCTCTTCAGACTCACAGTCAGATCAAACCTGGGAGGGCAGGAATGAAAGAAAACAGAGAGAGAAAAAGATTTTTAAAATAAGGGAGTGAGAGATTGCGCAGAAAGGTAAAGCCATTCTTCAGCCTGTTGAGTCACATCAGAGATGGTAAGAACCACCCTTCAGACTGTTTCAGTAGAAGGCACTCCATGTAAGGGTTAAAATGTTGTCAGTTCTCTCAATAATTATGCAACCACAAGAAAAACATCAATGTAACCAACTTCTTTCTGATGAGCACCTGCTCAGGACAATTTCAGGTGAGGTGGCTGGAACAGGAATGTTTTAAAATAATGTAAAAAACATGCCAAAAAAGTGTCATTTACATGTAATACATGAATGAGAACAAAAGAAAGGAAAAGGCAGCTTTAATGCCTCATTTGAGGATTTTACTGTCCAAATTCTGCCACAAGCAGTTTTGTGTAATGTCTGTTTCTTACAGGACTTCCCACAGTCTTCAGCACAGTACTTCATGTTGCTATGCTACACCAGAGAAGTTTGTCTGGAGCCTACAGTCTCTCTGGGATTTTTTTGGTGTTTATTTGATGATACAGTAAACCATAATAATAAATGATAAAGCCATCCCCTGTAGATGGGTTGTGTAGTTCCAAAGTTCAGACTGAGAAGAGAAATGACCATTTCCATATTGGCCACCTGGATGTTGCCATCTGAGACTTCCTCAGTGAAACCTGAAAGTCCTTCTGGTCTACTCATGAATCACCTATTCCTGCTGGCCTTACTGCTACAGAGGATAGCCAGCACTATGCTTGGTCACCTGCGAGTATCTTACACAAAAAGCCTGAATGTTCAAATTAATAATTAAGCAAACAAGTTCTAAACAATAAAGATTCAGATGCTTTGCTACCTCAATTAGTAAGGTAGCTAGGGACTTCATGGCAGGTCATTCTCTTTCATATCTTCATTCTCAAGACATAATTAGTGTTCTTGAAGCATGACTTCTGCTAATATTACTTCAGCTTTTGGTGCCAGAAGGCTGAGTGCACACTGAGGGCCTGAAAGGGTTATAATCCTGTCTCAGTAACGCCACATATTTACAGCATTTGGCTGTTTCAAACATGATGGTTTGTTTACTGTAGCATCAGCTGTCCTAACCTATACTCAGACTACTGAATCCATGTCAGGAATCAGAGAATCTTTCAACAGTGACCTCTGTAACCACATGTGAGGTGTGATGTGAAGTTGTGGTGGGAAAAAAAACACCTATTACACCATTATACCTGACACACTCATTCAGGGGACAGCTTAGCAAGAAGGATCGCAGAATTATTTACATTTGGCTCAATGATTGTGCAGTTTTGTGCTGTTCTCCATCTCCTCTTAGAACCTCTGAAAACTGAACAAACCCCAGCCAAGTTGTGAGGATAAATGCCTTTTTTTTTTTTTTTTTTGGTGGAAGATTAATCTGATAAAGCTTTACAAAATGTAGTATATATTAAAAACAAAAGAAACTAACAACTTACAGATAGGAGTTCCAGCTAGATAGATACTGCAGGTCTTACCTGAAGGTGACATTGCTAAATTCCTTCCTCTAACAATGCTGCTTCTCCCATACCAGCTTCACTCTTGGCTTAGATTTAGAAGTAATATTTGTCTGTGAGTGGTACTAGAGATAGGGATCTTAGTGCATTTTTTTCTGCTTTTTGGTGTCTTCAACTCATGTCTTTAATGTGTATCCTGACAGAGCATCTCCATGGTCTGGTTCGCTGCCAGGCTAAGCCGAAGCTGGAGTTGAAAAATCCACCACCTTCAGCAGTTCTGAAGGCTGTGTGACAGCAGCAGAGTCCACAGCTTGCAGATGTGAATACAGAGCTGGTCCCATTTCAGGATGCCAAACCTGCAGGGTTTTGGGTATAAAACAACCTTAAGAAATATAGAGCAAATTCTGTCCAGCAAAGCAATGTGATTCCCAACATGGCACATAATGGAGACACTGTTTTAAGGCTGGCCATTTAAGAAAAAACTCAAACATTCTAGCACAGAATCATCTGGAATCTGCTGTGAACACTGCCCACCACTTATTTTCCACATGTGCTTAGAAGAGGTGTTTAGCATTAAAGGTTTGCTAGTCTCCCTAGCTGGCTGGTGAGCTCTGCAGTACATTTCCTACAACCTGTTTTCTATGACCCTGAGTCCCTTGTGTCTCTTCTTGTTTAATAAATCCCTCCTACAGTCCTGTGGGAAGTAGTCAGGTGCTAGGTGGACTGGGATTAGGGAATGTGCTTACTGACTTGCAAGATCCTATTAATGTCATTAAAATTTCTTTGCCAAAGATAACAGTACCCCTGATTATTAGTAATTTTTAAAAATACAGATCTTGCTTTTGCTCTTTAGCTCACTTTGCAGCAGCCTCCATTATATATGAGAAGAGCAAAAGATGGACTGTTTAAAAAAGCTATATGTTTTCAATCAAAAGAATAGGGAGTTGTGTATCCAAATACAAGTCGTGCTCTGAAATTCTCAGCTAAAATGCAACAACCTTCCCCCTGGCACCAAAAAAGTCATCCAGTGCAGCATGGCATAACAAACTTGATGCTAATGGCTTTTATACAAGGCTCTCACTTGAGCACAGGGGTCATAAGGAATACGGTGCATATGGACAGAGAGTATTCCCCTCTCCTAAGCCTAATGTGAGATAATGCAAGTCTTCAAATAGGAAAGGAATCATAGCTCCAGGCTTTAAATTGGTTTTGTGTTGTCTTCTGATGTAAAGGAGCCTGTATGCTTTCCCATCTGAGTAACTATTTAACCTCAAGGCCTTCATCTACTGCATAGAATTCTCTGGTGTTTTAGCTATGCTGGCTTCCACACTTGGTAATTTTTTTTCTGAATTAGGTGCAGCTCCTAAGGCCCACTTCAGTATCTGTTACAGGATTCCATCAATAGTTTAGGCTGTTTATTGATGGCATCTGACAGTCTTTTTTTCTTTTTTGCAAAATGCTTTAGAGTCATATAAAGAAAGAAGTCTCTATAACTGGCACAAAATAAAATCTGTCCATTTCATCCATTTCAGCATTTCTGAGGCCACTGTAATCCTTTGGAGTTTGTCTGTGGTATTGATCATTTTGGAACTAGGGACAGATTCTTTCCTACTAAAAATCCAGTATTAAAATAAAAGAATGCAAGCAACTTTCATTAATCTCACAGGAGTTGTTTTTTTTTTTTTGTTTTTAAAGGGTTGATGAGCATAGTAACATGTATGGCAAATTATATTCTTTGTCATACATTAGGGCGTTTGGCAACATCTATGTAAACCTTAAGTACCAAAGCTACCTACACCTCAGAACACCTTTACCACATTGATCTCTGCTGTTTGCAGATACTTAATTCCCCCCCAGCCGGGCATCTCTGTGTCCTTTTAAAAATAGTTACATAGGAATTACTAATTTAATTTTTTTATTGCTTTTGGACTGAGATAAGCCAAGGAGAGGAAAAGGAGAGAGAGAGAGAGAGACAGGGAGATAAGACCCAAGAGATGGCTACAGTTACTTATCACCTTCTGACTGAGGTCCAGCCTGTCCCCGAGCAGTGACTGGCAGCCTCCAGCCAATTCTCCCCAGTTTATATACTGAGCATGACAATCTATGATATAAGAATATCCCTCTGGTCAGGTTGGGCCAGCTGTCCTGGCCATGCTCCCTCCCAGCTTGTGTACCTATTCACTGGCAGAGCATGGGAACCTGAGTAGTCCTTTAATAAGAGAAAACACTACTTAGCTACAAAATCCAAAACAGTGTTGTACTAGCTACTAAAAATAAAATTAACTTTATCCCAGTGGAAACCAGGACAATACCATGAGTGATTGCAATTTAATTAATGTGAAATCCCAACATTTTGAATGAGACAGAGGAAAGAGTCCAAGAAAGAACCAAAATATTAACAGAAAAAGAAGAGCAACAGTCTCGTTAGTCAGATGCTGCTGCTGATAGGAACACTCCCATGTGTTGCACAAGCTGTGTTAAGCATGGATCATATGGTTGATATCTGATGGATACAACAAAATCAGCCACTTGTTCAAGTCAGTTCTGGTCTAATTCAGGAAAAAGCAGTCAAAATTAGACACCCAAACCATTTCAGAGGTGCTGAATGTTCTGGCCTCTCATGGTTGCTTGGGTAACAAGCCACTCAAGCAACTTTTGTGAGACACCTCTCTCAGATGCTCTACGCAGAGAAAAATCAAACTAGCACAGAACAATCACAGTGTATTGACTTCAAATTGTGTGCATGTGTTATATTTGAGTGTATAGAGAAATATATGTATGTACAGCAGGAAGTCAAGGAGGTATAACTTGTATGTTTAGATTTACTCATGGTCACAACGCTTTTCTAAAGACAATTTCTTTGCCACCTACTTCTCTTGGTCACTTCAAATGTTTAAACATTTCAACTATTGCACTTATTCTGAAAATGAGCTCTTTCTGCAGTGCATTACAGAGTAGCTCAGAAACATCTTCCCTAATCCATTGGAAGTTTGGGCAAAAATGCAAAGTTTTAGGTGAAAAGTTATATAGATTGCTTGAAGTTGGTGATTTTCTTTCTTAAATGTTTCAATAGCCCAGACCTGCTGTTTGCCTTGTATTTCCTGTGATGCACTCTGGCCTTGGGAATGGAGATTAGAAAATTGGTGTAATTGGGAATCAAGTATAGGAATAAGAGGTCTCACAGGATAGTTTGACCTGGGACATTTAAAGCTCATCTAGTTCAATCCCCCTTCAATAAGCAGGGCCATCTTCAACTAGATCAGATACCTGAACTGTAACTCTCAGAAGAGAGATAAACAGTGTTTTCTAACTAAATTTGTTTTTCATAGAATGGTTTTGGTTGGAAGAAACCTTAAAGATCCTCTGCCATGAGCAGGGACATCTTTTGCTCAGAGCCCCCTCTAACCTGTTCTGGAACATTTCCAGGATGGGGCATCCACAGACACCCTCACAGTATGGAATTTCCTCCTAATGCTAATCCAAAGGTACCCTTGAAGCCATTGTCCCTTTTCCTATCACTACATTTCTCTGCAGACAAAGTGATTTTTCAGATTCAGCACAATGGCTGCGCTGTCTTTTCTCACCAAAGTTTTGGTTGTAATGCACTCACTGGCTTTCTCCAACACCATGTTTTCTTCCTCTGTCTCCTCCATACTGTCCTTGATGTGACTTCGAGCCTTGGTTTTGCCAAGGGGACCTCGATGCTTGCAGTGTGCTTGGTTCTTCACAGTGACACTGTGTGTAGCAAAAATCTTGAGGACAGGTTCTTCAATAATTGGAGAATCTGGAAAGAACAGAAGACATTTGAAGGCTGCAGCTGCAAATATAACTTGACATCTATCCTGTACCTGCAAGTTCCCAGAAAAAGGGGTCCAAAACTGAGTCCTCATACACTCCTTCATGTTTTTTTCTATCAGAATTTGGTGCTTTGTGAAAGTCTTCAGGGACACTCAAAATTTTGTCTTGTGCTTTGATTGATCATGGTTTTGATTCAGCTGATTTAGTTCTGTTTCTTATACAGTGAGTTACCAGCCCTCTTTTAGTTGTTCACCTCAGCAGAAAAAGAGGAAGCTCTGGGAATTAACAAATGCCAAAGCCCCTCACTTCCCCAGGACCTGGAGATTCGATTCCAGGCAGCTTTTTGGTTTTGTAAAGCATCTTTCTGCTGTTCTTCCCTAGAGTCCCATGGGGATATATACCTAAGATCACAATAAAGATAATAGAACCAAAGTTGGTAAAGAAAATGCTCCCTTTTTTGCAGCAGAGTAACATGGGGGAATGATAAGGATGTCTTGCACATAATAATAAAAGCCAAAACAAAACCAACAGGCTCCCAGTACCTGAAGGGAGCCTACAAGAGAGATGGGGAGAAATTATTTACTTTAGCCTGTAGTATCAGGACAAGGGATAAAGGGTTCAAACTGGAAGAGAATAGATTTAGATTAGGTATTATGGAGAAAATCTTTACTGGGAGGGTGGTGAAGCACTGACACAGGTTGCCCAGAGAAGCTGTGGATGTCCCATCCCGGACAGTGTTCAAAGCCACAGGAAGGATGGGGCTCTGAACAACTTGGTCTAGATGATTTTTAAGATCCCTTCCAACCTGAGCCATTCTATGATTCTAAACATATTTGTTGTTTTTTATTTCTTTATTTTTGCCACACAGTGCATAGCATAAGAAATCACAATTCTCTGCTGGTACTCAGGAAAACCAACTCTCCCTGCTGGAGAGGAAAGCTTTGCTGCGGATGGATTTCCACTGCAGCACAGGTCTGATAACCATTCGGTGTGGCAGGCACAGCACCAGGGCTCCTGTCTGTCCCGGCAGAGGTTTTACCCGGCTGCCCTGATCCAGGCGGCAGGAGAGGCTTTTTGCCACTGAGCGCCCATCTGGCGCCATCTGCCTGCCAAGGGCCGAGCCATACACGCAGTTCCCTTCTATTCATCGCTTCAGAAAAGGTGCTTTGCTTGTTGCTCGTGGCATCAACGTTTGAAGCAAAGGCTCAAGCCAAAATTCTTGACTAAGCCACTTAAAAGCAGCCAGCAACCTGATTCTGCAGGTGTTTGTGTACACCTGGTAAAGAACAGGAAGGACACAGGCACGTCTGCCCCACTGCTTCTCTCCCAGCTGGTCAGTGAGGAGTCCCTGCTTCACTATCCAAATCCTTTTCAAGCCCATCACCCGACAAAAAGACCGAGGCAGGAAACAACACAGACTGCAATGAACAGAATTTCCAGCCATGTCCCTGAATCCTATGATCAGAGTTTCCTGCCCTAAGATGTCTAAGCTGTCAGGATTCCTGGCTCCTACTGAGGTAAAGTGATCCATGGACAAAATTCAGTATTACATGTATCTGTGCATCTGCCTAGATGGGCCACATGGTATGTGCTGAAGGGTTTGCGTTCACATGCAGAGGATGCATTTACTGATTACTCTGAAAATCAGAGACCAGGAGGGAGAAAGGCGGGTGGTGAGAAGCCAACCTTGTGGGAAAGAGTGTGAGCCTGCAGGCTGACAAAATGGGTTAGCAAATGTGAAAGCATGTTCACACGAGACTGCAAAGGAAAAGTTTGACAAAGCCAAGATCCAAAGCCAAAACTTAGTAAGCCTGAGACAGTAGTAGTGTGGGAAGGATACGATCCGTTCTCATCTGATCTGTCCATCTGTTTGTCCCCACTTAGAAGCCCTTTATCCACACCATGCCAAGTCCCATTATGGTTTTGCAGCCTTTCATTATACTGATCGTCCCATGGGCATTTTACCTATTTGCCTTCTTGAGCCGTGTTCCTCCCACCTTTTCATCATTCAGGGCAACACAGCTTGTCAGGATCCCCAATTAAAAGTAGGAACGTCACACGCTTTATGGTTGCAAATGTCAGAATCACAGAATAGCTCACATTGAAAGGGACCTATAAGGATCATCAATTTCACTTGTCGGCTCCTTGCAGGACTGCCCAAAACTAAACCATATGACTAAACATCAACCAGATACTCCTTAAACTCTGATAGGTTTGGTACTCTGTCTCTGGAAAAAATCACAGTGGAAGCATGTGAATAAAAAACTGTTCAGAATTGTCAGCTGAGCACTTCAAACACCAAGAAGGTGTTGAAAAGCAGGGAGATCTCCTAACAGTATGGGGAGATCACAGGATGCAAGTGGTTTAGTAAATTGGAAGAAATCCTGTGAAGAAAGTGGGATAGAAAAAGGTTGTTCCTAAGCAGTTTTTCCTCTCCTTTTTGTGTGTTCACTGAATGGAATGCAGCTATAGGAATCCAAAAGCAGAAGCAGAAGAGTGGCCCTTGGCACAGCTCCATTCTCATAGCTGGCACAGAGGAGCTGACACACCAGCCAAACACTCCCTCTACTGCCTACACAATATTTGTATCTGAACTCTGATGGGCAAAGATGAATCAGTAACTAAGACACCAGACTACAATTACAGTGTGCACAGGAGTCAGAGGCAGCTCAGACACAGCTTCCAGGTTAGCTGTGCCACAGAAGTGGTTTCTGTCACACAGGAATTACCAGAGATGGCCCCTGCCCTGCACTGTCCCTTCGAACCACCCTGGCCATGGCCCACAGAAGGCACCCAGACACCAGGCCTGGCACCCATCCTGCAGAAGCCTTCATTTTCTCATTACACAAAAATGAAGGACCAGCCTTGCAGAGATACATCAGGGTTGGCTACAAGGGCAGATCCATCCTCCATGTAAGAAAATCTGCCTGCCCTCACAGCCGAGCTTCTTTTGGCCCCTGAAGTTTCCTTCCTACCATACCAACAAGAGAATGTTCAGCAGTTATTGAACTTGTGAAGGATTTACTGCTATCATTTTATGCTCCTCCTAGGTAGGTAATTTCAAAATGGTCTTAAAATGCTTTTAATAGAAAGCACCTGGGCACAGTTCAAAGCTGGTCCACATCTAGCAGAAGTCCTCTCAAAGACTAACAGTCAGTAAAATCCAAACCCTAACTTTGAAGTTCTCCTCCAGCCTATGCTGAGAGTATGAAGCTAAACTTTCCAACTTTTCTTTGTGGTTTTCTTAAAAGCTATGTGTATTTCTGTAAAGATCATAGACTAAAGTTTACAGCATCAATAATGTTACTGCAAATTAATTCACAAAACAAATGTAATATTAAACATTTACCAGCCTCCTGTTGTGATGCTGGTCTTCAGCAGACTGCAATCAAGTCCAAGTCCCATGGGTCACTTTAAAGAATCAGGATAAGAATTCATTAGGGCAATCCTGACTAAAATAAAACACACAATACATTTTACTAGTCTGGTTTAGGTGACAGGTGTAAGGACTTAAATGAAAGATTTACTGCTTTATGCTTCTACCACTTCATACAGCAAGAAGTCCTGCATTATTACCTTCATGCTACCAACAGAAGGTACAGACTAACAGCTTATTCCATGTTAAACAATAAAAAGACTGCAGATCAGTGTTATTTTGCACATTTTCTAAAAGTGTTCCAGCAAAGCAGCACTGCTCCATTCGAGAGTTTCACACTGAAAAACAGTGTAAAGACTAAATATTCCTCCTCTTCTTCCTCTCTTGAGTCTCTCCCACAGCTGCACTGGCACTGCTGTACTGCTCATTAGGGTCACTGTCTCGTGTACTCTGTGATCACTGTGATCACAGTCACTCAGCCCATTGCATTAAATGGTAAGCTCTGCTCTCTTCCCTTCTTACCTCCTGGTGTACTCAGGAGACGTCTCTATCACTTATCCATTTTTCATCCCCTTCAGGGAGACACCTTCAGGAGTTAACACACACTCCAGGCAGGCTTTTCCCTTCCTCTTCACTTGGGTGTTCTTGAGATTGCTGATAAACTGAATTGGAATCCCTGGGACATGGGAAGGGATGGGTAAGAAAAGTACATTATAAATCAAAACAGGTGTCATTGTCTTTGCAGGATATAACATGGGCTCCTGTGCAAGAGAGATTCCAGACTTGGGGCTTTACTTCCAGTTTGAAAAATAGGTCTTCATGCTCCTCTGCTTGCCTGTCACACTAGCTTTACGAGACTGTGGATTCCAATTTTGTCAGCCCAAGCTCAGGGGTTTTATGTTTTTGCTTTATGCATTTTGTAGGTCAAACCTTGCTGTCTCACATGTGATCCACCCACTGTGCAAAGATGTTTACTTTCCACCACTTACGATCAATGAAGAGCAGAGTGTTCTGCACTAGACTTCCAGTCTTAACACTGCAGCCTTTTAAGTAACTGGGTTGAACACCCTTCATTTTCACAGTGTGGGCCAGTCCATCATCAGGTAAATCATCATTCATACTTAACATCCCACTTTGACTCCTTCTCATTGAACTTCTAAGTGAAGCTTTGCACTTTCTTTACCAGGGAGATTCCAAGCACTGATGTCTGTTTTTCACTTTTAGTGGCTCCAGTTCTGTCAGGATTTAGGGAGCACACCTGTTAAAATACCAGAGACAAACATTCAAAAAGACAAAAGACAGTCTTATTTTTTGTTCTTGATAACCAAATTCTTATACTAAACAGCACAAAGTCCATGAAATACTTTTGATTTCTCGTTGGTAGAAGAAAGATAAATTCATTCC